CGTGCCAGTCTCTGCAAAGCAGTCTGTCCAGTGGCTGCATCCGACAATGTGCAGGTGACTCCTTGTCAATGAGCAAGCAGCGTCAATGCCCCTCTGATGCAACTTTGAGGCCTCAACTCGGGTACTGCCAACTGCCCCCAAGTGCCCTCCCTGCCCGCCTGCAGCCTGCATGGCGCCTCCTGACTTGCCCTGAGCGCCATGCACCGCACCACCACTGTCTTCGGCCCCGCCGTTATCAAGTCTTGTCACTCTTATCGATAAACCCCTGAAGCTGGCTTGATAAGCGTGGCGGTGGCTGATAAGCATTTGTCAGGCGGGAACGGCCCGGCACTATGTGGCTCCGGTTTGGCCGGCGCCGGCCATGGAAGTCGGGTCCTCCCAGCCGGCTTTCGTCTCATCACCCCGTTCCGTCTGCCCTCCGTGCTGAAGACGAGGCCAGGGATACACATCTCGGCAGACTGCTACCGCTTGCAGAGCCTCATAAATTTGACGACAACTCGCTATTGATTGGGCAACATGGCTGACTGCGTGGCATTTCGATGTGGCGGCAAGGTTTGATTGGCAGGTGGTAGAGGTCAACGCTCTCACATTTCTCACAGTCTACGCCGATATCCTAAATCTTTCTTTTCCCAACAGTTTGGTGAACATGAGCTCCATCTGACCTCCTCTCTGCCCAGAGACAATTTTCGAGCTTAAGCAAGGACCGTATCGGCCAGAGAAACTGTCCAAGCTGTCAGTCACCATGGTTGGATCAAACAACGCAGCCGTCTACTTACCCTTGGTTCCAATGTTGTCGGGCTCGACGTGAGCCTCCTTGACCTTGCCGTCCTCGACGACAAGAGTGTATCTCTTGCCGCGGGTGTCGCCAAAGATGGCGACGCTGTCAAAGTCGAGCTCAAGCTGCTTGGTGAACTCGGCGGTCGGGTCACCCAAGAACCGGATCTGCGACACATTCAGCACACAATCGATCTCTCAACAAAATCCCCGAAAAGACTCAACATACGCCCGTCTGGCCCGCGGGGTCCAGCTGCTCACCCCACGCCTTCATCCTATAAACCTGTCAATATGCGGTCCTCGATTAGAAACCCCAACCCCGAAAAAAAACCTACACAAAGGGGTCGTTAACCGACACAACAAACACGGAGCCGGCCTCCTTCAGCTTCGGGTGGTTAATGTACGACGGGACGTGAGTGGCCGAGCAGGCGGGCGAGAAGGCCGCGGGAACACCAATGATGAGCCCGTTCTTGACCTTGGAAAACTCCTCGGCCAGGTTGACCTTGTTGCCCGGCGAGTTCTCGACCAGCACCGGCAAGTCGGGGATCGCGTCGCCGACCTTGACGAAGGCGCGGGGCGTCGAGTGGAACGCCCTGGCTGCAGCCGCGGGACGGGCGAGGGCGACTCTTCTAGCAGCAGCGCGGAAAGCCATTGTGTATGTTTGTGTGTGTAGATGTAGACGTGTGTGATGGTTGAAAATGCAATTGATGCGATGAGATGAGAGAAAGAGCGGGATGATGGATGAGTTAATGTTTCTCAGAGCTTTCCTTCTGTCTCTCTGAGCTGAAAGCTTGAGGTAAAGCTTGGGAGGGGCAGGGCATCTCAGCAGCAAGGACAAGCACCTCACCTCAAGCAGGGGGGGCAGGTTTGGTTTAGTGCCTCCTCACCTGCACCTGCACCTGCACCGAGGGCTCAATTGAGACACTGCTGGGAAATTGCAGCATGACATCAAAGCGACGTGCAGCCCCCCCCCCCCCCCCCCCCCCCGGTACACCCCAAAGTGCTCACAATCATCCTTGTGAGACACGGCCAACGACGCCCATTTCGCAACCTTTTCGTAAAAACGGTCAACCGCCCGTGCGGCCGTCAAATTATATCAAGCATCCCGAAAAGCCTCACCTTTCTTTTTTCTCCCAATTTTCCACTTCCAAGCATCTGTCAAGGTTCTCGCGCGCCGGTGGCCGCATCGACACCGACCTCAGCTCATTGCCGCTTTCGAACACCTGCATCGACTATCGGGGCTTGGGTATCATTTCATCATTAGGGTATTCTACTCTGGCCCTCGCGGCCTTCTTTTTTTCTCTACGATCACCGGGGGCTCATTACCATCCAACATCTGCTGCCCATCTGCTGTTCACCTGTCGTTTGTCGTCCTCAAGGAGCTCTCAACACCTGCTCCAAACTGTCGTTTGTCGTCCTCAGGGAGCTCTCAACACCTGCTCCAAACTGCCGTCCTCGCCCGGCTCGCCCACTTTGTACCTCTTCGATTCCAGACTATCCGGGAGCTTAGCGATATTTCCAACGAGATGAATGAAGCTGTACTTACCTCCAGGCCAAGTTGCCAGTGCAAACGGTCTTCAGAGCCTCCGCCACCAGCCGGATGTGGTCCGCTTCACCCCGGTACTGGCGGATGAGCCTCGACTCGCACACGTCGAAGCTCTTGACGGCCTTTTCGATTTCTCCGACGACGTGCTCGACGACCTCCGCCAGCTCGCCGCGTTCGCCGTTCCACAGGAGCACCGGCACCACGTTGAAGATTTGACCCTTTCTCTGCGCCAAAGTCAGCAAACAAGCAGCCCACTAGACTGCTGCCATCACCTACCAGCTCCTTGCTCAATGAGAGCAAGTCGTTCGTCCTTGGGGTCTGTCAGCCTCTGAATACCTTCGACCTGGGTTCGCCATCACTCACAGCCCAATAATGACACTGACCGCCTCAAGCATGAGCTTGTATGGGATCGAGCCAGTGACCAACCCAGACAACTGCACTCCCGCAACAAACCTGCACCAATCAGCAAAGCCCGTCTCAATACGCAACTCTGGCAGCTCTGGCAACTCACTCGGCCAAGGCACAAAGTGGCCCAGCACCTGCCGTCCTCTTCCGCAGATCCTCGTAGTACCGGTCCGTCGGTACCTCCCCGCTCTGGATGTACCGCATCTCCGACACCGTTGAGTCAATGTACTCGAACAGGCTGACCCTCAGAGCCCTCCGCTGGTCTGCTGAATCGTCAGCCTCCTCAGCTCCCGCTCCCGGTCCCCCGGGCACATAGACGACATATCACTCACCCTGGTCATAGTACCGGCAAATCACCTGCGCTACCTGCTGGAAGTCCGAAATGGCACTCGTCGCAGGCGGCTCCCGCGGCAGATCCGAAAGCTGGAGATACTGCGCGACGTACTCTTTGGTCTTGGCCCTGAACTCCCTCGCCCGCTCCGAGCTCTCGTACTCCAACGCCTCGATGTAGTCATCGAGCCGTCCCTGCCAGAGGACCATCTGCGTCAACGTCCTCAGATGCTCCAGCGACACATTGGGCCACAGACTGTTCGCAGTCAGCAAGCGCTGCCAAAGGTATTAGTCGGAACGTCACAACTTACCACGCCGCAAGCAAAGCCGGGTTCGCCTCCTCGACATTCTCCTTATCCCTAGGCGAGGCCGTCCTGCATCTCATTAGTCCCACGCTGCCAGTTCCTCAAAACACCACAAGAACCCTCACCGATCTAGCAACTCGCCGACCTGCCCCTCGATGTCCGAGGCGTGCGCGTTCCTCCCGCAGGGCCAGTGGCCCATCAACCTTCCCAGGTCCGGTATGACCATGACCTGCCCGTTAAGCCTCCGCGCCAGCTCCGCGCTGTCGGTGTTCTTCTTCGCCATCTCACTTGCCGAAATTCAGGGTATTATGCTTAAAAATTTCCGCCCTTTCTTTTTCTTCTTCTTCTTCTTCCTCGGAAGTTTTTTTGTTTACAGTCACATTCGCTCGGGCGTGGTGCGTCTGATTTTGATGAGGCCGAGTGGTCTTGGGTGGAGCATGGCGAGATTAAGTCAATGCTACCCAACGACGCAGGACACAGGGGCGTTGGAGGTGGGCTCTCCTTGATATGCGACTCTGACAGCGGAAGAGGGGCGAGATAAAAAGGTAAAAAGAGGGAACTGGGGGGTCAAACCCTGGTGATTCACTGATTAGGGGTGACACGTTTTCTTCACTGCTGGGTGTTTGTTTTGTTTTGTTTTTTTCCTCTGGTTGGGGGCGGCCAAATCTGTCTACTGCCAGGGGAATACGGGATGGGCCGTCTTGGGTTCTTTAATGGAGTGGTGCAAATCGTGGGGAGGGAAAGGGGCTTTTGCGGGTGTGCTTTGATTTTCTGCTTTTGGACCTGAAACGGGGGCGAGTTTGCGCCTTCACCGAGGCGGAAATCAGGTTCGGTGTGCGGTGAGTGATTCAGAGCATCTCTTGAATGTCGCCGTCACTGAATGTCCATTGATGCGGACTGTCAGTGACGCTGAGGTGCAGTGGTTGGTGCAGTGGCGCCCCCATTTGGCTGGGGTAAACGCCGATCACGCAATGATTAATTTCCCGAACCTTGGGGTTGTCGAAACGAAATCCCACCGTCCACCAACACCGTCGCAACGGCTCGCGAATAGTTGCCGGCTTTCAATCGTGTGCTGCCCCGCGGAGTGCAGGCAAGAGTCGATGCCTTTGGGTCCAAGAAAACGAAAACCCTTACGATTGGGGCGGCGTTCGTCGGAGCATAACAACGTTTCTGCTGATGGTTGCAAACGCGTGTTCATCTTCAATGAAACCTCAACTGCCAAACCCCGATTGGTTTGGCAGACACATACGAGGTGTTGGTCCGGTTCTCCCGTGTTGGGGACGGACTGTGTTGTATGCCACACTGATTTCACGACTCAACCTGTCGGCTCGATTCCGTGATGGCTTGCTGCTACCCTCGGTGTTTGACAATGCAGGACGTTGCGTACGCTCGGCGGCACGTTGCCACCGCCGACTGGAGATGCTCGATCGCAAGATGTGTGGTCTGCTGTCATTGTTCATCGATGCCCGGAAAGCTTGTAAAATGCTGCGCTCCTTGTGTCTACATGCCGTGTGTCCTGACTTCAATGATTAAGTACGCCTAGAAAGGGTGAATAACAGCCAGTATACCCGACGTCGTTAGACGCCAACAATGCTCCGTATCATAATCATCTCATCATGTTCTCATCAAGTTGATAGATCTCAACGTTTCCTAAAAATGCCCTTCAACTTTGAAGCGAATCTCCCACGCTTCCTCTTACCGTTCTCCGCAACTTCGAAACGCTCCTTGGCAACAACAATCGAGATTTTGGGCAGTCGTGCCACCTCTAGAGTAGTTGCCGTTGGCAAGTCCACCTCGGCCGGCTTGGTCTGCGACGAAGCCCGCACTTCTTTCCGAAGCCTCCATTCGTCTTCATCGTCTTCCGATGCTAATTGACGTAACTCAAAGCCCGAGCCCCGGTTGATACTAATACGGGCCTTCCACTTTGGCGCCAGGTCGTCGAGTCTCTCGATGTTCAAGTCTGGTACTTTGCTGACCACGTACAAAGCTACGTCATCCCGACAGACGAGCTCCGGGAAGGACGACTCTGGGGCATCTTCGTTCCAGTCGTCGTTGCCCGGGAGCAATGTAGCCATAGCGTGGCTGAACCCCCATTTCCCAAATGCACTCATGACAATAGCCTCGAGATCGTCAAGTGCTTCCACCTCCGGGATTCCGGTCAAAATTTCGATTCTTCGGGCGTAGTATAGAGCCCCCAACATCCACTGAGCCAAGTGCGGGCGGATGTAGTTGTTGCGATGCTGGTGTATCAGTGATCTCAGTTGACCCACGTGGGCACCAAGAAGGATCCTGTCGGGGTTGAAGTCCTCTGCGGTGTGCTGCAAACGCGCCCTGACGTCTTTTGACTTGATGTAGTCCACAACTGTTCTGTGCAAGAATCCGACCCGCTCGTTGAAAAGATCGGGTGCGTCCGGAATTGGAGAGATGAAGATCAAGTCCTTGCACTGTCCTACGAGCTGCCGCTTTTTCCGATCGAGCGCTCGCGCCCATTCGTTGCCCATATCGACATTTGGCCAGTGCCTCAAGAATGGTAGAGGTTCTTTTGGTAGAGTCTTGTCTTCGAATTCCATAAAATAGAAGGCCAAGACTGGGAACGAAGTTTCGGCGTGCGTCATGGTGAGGAACAGGCGTGAGGTTCGCTTGCGATAGAATTCGTCGATGGTGTCGAGCATTCTTTTGAACATGTCCTTCAGACCGGTAGGCAGCGCACGCAGCCTCATCCGGAGGTCGTGAATGTCGTCTTCGTTTCTCAGTCCTTCGAGGAGGGAGCGCACGACGAGGAACACCCAAAGGAAAACGCCTTGTGCTCGAGCGACGATTTCCAATGCAAGTGACTCGGCATCGCCCTCGTTAAGCGACCGCAGCCTTCTGAACCTTCCGTTCCCTTGCAGTTCGTCTCTAATGAAAGTGTGGATATCAGCCTGCGAGAGATCGTGTAGGTGGAGTTTCCACTCCGTATTCTCAAAGGCGTCGGAAAACTCGATCCAGGGTCGACTGGAAACACAGATCTTGATATTGGGCAGCTCCCCCATCCTCAGAATAAGCGTGACCAGATCCGTATGGTCACCGCTGTACTCGTCAAGGCCGTCGATGAAGAGACATATTCTCCACTTCCCCTCGGGATGCTTTCCCAGCTTCTCAAACGCTGCCATTAGCTGAGTCCGGCTCCACGGGTGGAATGAGTCGGCATAGCGAAAATTCCAGCGGTCAGGGCAGGCGATACGCATCAGATTCGTGCGCTGCTTGAAAATCTGGAGCAAAAGGGCCCTCAGCAGACCTTCTTGAGACTTCTGGATGGTGGTTCCGGGGCTCCAGAAGTAATGTTGAGCGATGACCAGGTCGGATTTGTCAGCCCATACTCCCAACAGGCGTTTGGTCTCGTCGTGATGCGTCAGGAACTTCATCAGGGTGGACTTGCCCGAACCCGCCTTGCCCGTCACCCAAAATATACCGGCATGGTGCTGAAGCCACCTGGTGAAGGTGTCACTTGCTTTACCGGTACCGCTGGCGGTAGGACTTCCTTCAAAAATCCACTCAAAGGTCCGTCTGTGTGTTTCGGGCAGGGTAACTTCCCTTTCCTCGAGTTGGTTGAAGTACAGGGTGCCCAGGATGGCTTTCCTTTTCTCAGACGTCAGTGTTTGATTTAGGTAATGGAAGACATCGTCAAGTGTGGATTTCGGCGGATATCCCTCCACTGTCTCGTCGCCATCGTTGGAATTGCTGGATGCCCTGGGTTTATTTGGGTCCCCGGAAGTCTGCTTGGAGTCTTTGGGATTCTTGGCGTTCCTGGATCTTGGTACATAATCTTCGATATTAAGCCGTTGATTTGAGATTGTTCGGATATGGCTGATGACTTGCTCAAGCTTGCCGCCCATTTCCGTGCGTAACCTCGCATTTTGCGTCGATGTGGCGCGCAGGTCCTGAGCCATGAATTGTTGCTGTTGCCTGTGCCTCTGTCAATGATGGGCTCTGATAGTCGCTCGGTCTACTAGGTAGCCTGACACAATGATGGAAGCTTGAAATGACTTACAACAGCAGAACTACAAGGTGAGCGGAAACCTGGCTCCGAAGAGCGTTCAATCGTTCGTGAAGCTCCTTCAACTCAGACCTTTTCCACAACGTCTTGGACACAATGGTGATCTTCAGGTGTAATCCTTCCCTGCGTGTTGTCGAGGCCTTGAGACCGTCTAAGATTCCCAGAATCTGTCCAGCCACGTGTGAGCATCTCGAAACGAGATCCTGCATTACAGCATTCTCTGCAGCGCGGGAAGCGGGTAGAGGCAACTCCAGACTGGAGAGGAACTCATCCCTGCCTTTCTTGTCCTCCTCGACCTTGTCCAACGAACATACCACTTCCGCCGCAATCGCGCCAAGTTGAAGCTCTCTAAGCTTGTCAGCGAATCCACTTTTGGTGCTCTGGGCAATGTTTTGCAGGTCAATGTTCTCTTGCAGCGTGCCGTCCGGATTTCTAAGCAGCTCGTGTGTCGTGGCCACCGCCTTCAGCCCGAATTCGAGGAACTGGGCCACATTTCCCGCCAATGACACCGCTGCGAGGGCTTCCATGACTTTGGAGAAAACGTGTCCAAGTGTCGTCGGGTAGCCGTCTCGAAGCTTACGCAGGGTTTCAAACGAGAAGACTTGTTGTTTGAGTCAGATCAGGCTGCAGGCAGTAATGACATGGCCTCCAGTGGCCATGCCCGCAGCTGCATGCACCCATACCCCTCGCAATCCGTCCACTCACGTACTGGAATATGACGCCTGCATGATGATGCACTTGGGTCAGGAGAGTGTCGCGGATAAGATAAGAATGTGGATGAAATCGTCGATGCTTCTTCCCGCCGTTGCCATCCTTTTTGCAGCACTGTTCAAAACTCCCGGAGCGTAGCTGTCCCTCCTGCCTGCCCTCCTGCCACCCGGAGCTCTTGCCTTCGAAGCTCCTGCCCGCCCGGAATACCCTGACGTTAGATCCAGTTCGCTGCGATTCACAATGGTAACTACCTCGCGTAGCTCCTAACGCGCAGCGAAGCGTAGCAGAAGGAGCTACGCTCTGGATGATGGCCTCAGTGAACGTTAACTACGTACTGGCATGGGCACTCACAATTGAGCTTATTACGCACGGCTAGCTCTGACAGCGGGACAATCTTGGAAAATCCCAAGGCAATGGCAGCTGACAAAACATCACCAGCCTGCCTTCCTAGGAAGCGTTCGTCATGGCACATCAGATGAAAGATTTCAAGCCATCGATCAAGTCTCAGTTGGGCCAAGACCTTTTCTATACTGGTATTACTCTCCCTGCCATAACCTCGGCCGTGAAACCATCCACGGCTAGCTCATAAGCCCGTCCAAGAATCATGAAGACATAAACAGGTATCTCGAGAAGGAACAAAAACAGCAAAATTGCCAACCCATGTCTATCATAACCCGTTTGGCCGTCCAAGAAAACCCATTGAGCTCATTAGCCCACCAAAATCATAGAATTTCGACTCGACAAGAGCAAAAGACTGTTGTTGCCTAAATTCGAGAGAATAGAGAAACTTCCTTCACAGGAGAACTTCCAACGCATCATCGGCCCCTTTGTTTGACCGATATGTCAGTGAGCCCCTCACCCCACTCAACTCAACTCGACTCAGTACATCATCTCAACCTCCTCTCTGACGTCAAACTCCATGCCCACGTGCTTCGTCCGGAGGTGTCTGACAAAGTTGTCGCGCCGGTTGTACACATGCCCCGTCTTGGCCTTTCGGCACCCGGGGACGCGGCACCGGTACCCGGCGCTGTCGCCGTCGAGCGTCTCGTGCGTCTTCTTGTGCCGCTTGAGGTCCTTTTGCGTGGCAAAGGCCTTGTCGCAGCCGGCCTCGTCGCAGCGGTACTCCTTGATATGGTATCTCTCATGCTTGCTGTGTCCATCGCGTTAGTCACTGGTTCCTGAAGTAAGAGAAAACCACTTACGTCAAATCACTCGGCCGTCGAAAAACCTTTCCACAACTGTTCCAGCGGCATTCAAACCGCATTCGCGAAATATCAATGTTGCCCTCGACAAGGCCAGCGGTAGCGGCGGCGGCGGCGACGGGGCTCACGGCGCTGCAGAAGTTGATGTCACTGCTACCGCTGCTCGCCGTCGTCAGGCCGCTGTCGCTCGCCCTGTCGCACTCATTTTCGGTGATTTCGGGGTTCAAGGGGCTCAGCAGGTTCGTGCTCGACTCCGAAGAAGAGGAGGGGGTGGCGAGTGGACACTCCATGACACCAGGTGCCGTAGGTGATCTCCATGATGAGGGCAGCGGCGGTAGGTCGAGGCCTAGCGCGGCTGCTGTGGGAGATGCGGGTGATAGTAGGGGTATGGGGGGATCCGTGACGGATTCTAGCTTGAGGAACGTCGTCGTCGGGTTGGCGTAGTAGTGCTCGCAGTAGCAGATGTCGTTTCCGAGTAACACGCAGTAACAAGAGTCAACTAGGTTGGGTTGTATGCTGGTGTCTAGGTAAAACGCCACCGTGGGAGATGGGGGTTTGTTTGGTTGGGGTGGTTCAAGAAGTCTGATCCGGTGAGATCAGAGCCGAGATACACAAGGCGACTTCCCGCTAGGAAGGCCAGAGATGAGGCGGTTGTGACGGTCCAGAGGCAACAGCTAGCCCTGGGGGTGAGGGTGCTTTGACCGAGTCAAAGAATAGGCGGGGAAATTCCCCGCATGCGGTTCTCAGAATAGGTGATGATACTCCGGGGAGGCTACCAAAGAGGTATGGGTGTTTTGCAACGGGCAGGCGATGTTGGGGAGTGGTGATGCTATCGGGCCATTCCGACAAGATGTGAGCGGCGGGGGGTGGTGTTGATCCGTGAATAGTGTTCAGGATCTCTCTGTCGACGATATATTGCCAAGGATATCTTCCTTCCGAGTTCAGGTACGAGGTAAGTCTTGAAGCAAACAAGCTCTCGGGACGTGAGGCTCAAAAGCGGGCGGCGGGGTACGGTAAGGTTGAACCGGGTTTGGCGATCTCGGGTTGCGCAGGAGTGGGCGGCGGAGAATAAGTCTGTATTCGTAACGAGGGCGGACAAGGAGCCGGGCCGTGGCGTACTTAAGTAAGAGCGCGGCAGCAGATTCGATGCGTTGGATCTGGCGGGGCGGTGCAACATTTGAAGACGAGGGGGGGCCTCAAAACCACTCCAAACAACGTGGAAAGGGCAGAGCGACTAGCAAAACCACCACCTACCTTACCGCACTAACAGAAGGTAAGGTTGGCCCATTGGCTCGATGGCTGCAGGTGTGGGTGACTACTTCAGCAGACGGGCCAATTAAGCATCGCCAAAGACTGGAAACTGGGGCAGCCTGCATGACTGCCCAGCGCCTCTCACTCGTCACTTACCCTAGGTAAGGTAGGGTGGTAGGTAAGGTAGGTAGGTTGGGCTCCGCTCCGCCAGAGGCATCGAGTGAGGCAGGGGGAGCCTTCTTCATTCGCCCGCCGCGGAAGCCCTCCATCACCATGGATGTCATCAGTGATCACCCACCAAACCGCCGGCGGAATGGGGCCGCAACGCAACACGGGGACGGCCCAGCGAGCCGCAAAGGTCTGGAACACGGCCTGAGGGGCTTCCTGGGGCGAGAGAATGAGGAATCAAAGAAGCGTAAACCAACATCAGACCCATAATCGACTTTGACATGAGATACGGGATGCAGTCTCGGTCGCAATCCGTCTGGTCGGTGCCGCAATCTACCACAAACAAGAGTTCCGATGACATGACACTCATCAGCCATCTCCCCGCTCAGCGACATCCTCACTCGATACTTCGCCTCGTTCATGATGGACGCCATTGGCTGCTCGCCGCGTCCCCTGGCAGAATCAAGCTCATCTGATATCTCGGGGCAATCGCCTTCCCCAGTAAACGCACTTGGCGCGGTGCTCCGCCTCGTTTCCGTCGGGACATTCAGGAAATAAAGGACGCTTCTGGACAACTTCCGGGTGAGGTAATTCGAGGCAGACTCATCTTCACACCCATTCGCGACGACACTATCGTATCCCGCGCCAGCAAATACTTTACTTACATAACAACATCGCGCCGAGCGCGCGGGAATGGGAAATGTGGCAGGCAAAAAATCTGACATGGAAGAGTCCAGTCCAGTCCATCCCAGCCGCAGCCCGAAGTGGACCCCCCGAGATCTCCGTCACGCAACGCGGCGCCTCGACGGCAGTCCCATCAATAGCGCGCATCTTAACCGATCCGTCGCGAGGCTAAATATTCCCGGCCCGGCCAGGCATCCCTCCGCAAGTGGGCGGGATAGGATAGGCATCAAGACACGCACCAGACCGGGCCGCGAGCGGGTCTCTCTGTCTACAAGAAGCAGGAACAGAGACGCGGACGTCGTCCGAATGGGATGCAGGCATGAATACGGTCTTCGCGCATAACACGACGCGCGGTATGACTGAGTTGCCCTGGCAGCGGACGGCCGACGGGTGCATCTTGCATCTGCATGTTGGTGTTGTCTGATCATTGACTGCATAAACTCTTGGGGCAGCGGTGTGTCTGACGGGGGAGGAAGTCGTCTGAACGTCCACAGAGACCCAAAATCTCGTTGGACACTTGCAATCTCCAGAAGCAGCCAACGACGTGAGCGGCACGTCAGGTTGGGCAAGATGTTGATTGCATCATGGCAACGACGCCCGTGGAGAGAGAGACCTTGGCATGCACGACGTCCACGGCGACGGCCAGTACAGAGGCCAGACCGAGGGAAACCGCGTCTTTTAGTCCCGGAAATCTCATCGGTGCCTCTAGCAACAGCGTTGGATGCCGACGTTGGTCCGATATGAGGCCATCGACCGGTGCTAGTCTAGTGGACGTTGCATCGTCCTCCGACCTCAAAGGTGTCATCGTCTCGTGGCCCTTACAGAAGTCCGCATCTCACCAGGGTTCGCGGTGCATCTTCGCCGTCATCATCACCAACGAACATGAAAAAGGAGACGGACAAAAGATCATCGCCATCTCGTGAGCCCCGAGAAAAGACTCGCGATGCATATATGAAGTAACGTCAGGCAAGTGCCGGCCGACGGGTGACCTTGGCATCATGACTCGGGTGATGTTCAAAGGGACGAGGGCGGTAGGGCCCGGGAGTCGCGTGGCCGCCATGTCTTGACTCGGCGCCGATCCGTGTCTCGCTCAGATCTCGCGCGCCGTTACAGTTTTTAATTTTTGACCCTTCCAGGTGATCTAGAAAATTTGATCGAAGCATGCATTGGATCACTTGCATTGGATGTTGGATGATACGTATCCGAAGCACGTCAATGACGGCATCACCATCTGACCGCTCGATGGCATTGGCAGAGTTGCAGAGGAAGCAAACACCGCAATCCAACTCTGCTCGGAGAGCGTAGAAGCCGAGACGACACCGCCATTTCTCTCCCAGTATGTTCCCTCCCGGTCCGTCTTGGCTTCCGCGAGAACGACTGTCCAGTCGAGCAGGCGGGGGAAGAGGGCATCTCAAGTGTTACGCAGCATTGTTGAAGGGTCTTTGTTTCCTGCTAATTAGTGAGGGGCACCGCTAGGGGATTAGAACTTGACCCCGCTTTTCCTCTCTCCCTGTTAGTGAAGAAGACGAACACCTCGGCTTCTTTGTTCGTCATTGTCTGTGTCTCACTCCCATTCCTTAGGACCTTCGGAGCCCTCTCGAGGCCAACATATCATCAAAGGCTTCATCAACAACAAAGTCGGTCGCTCACATGGCCATTGTTTATCTCTTGTCATGTTCCATCCAGTCCGAGTGCTGCCCTCCAACCCCGCATGTCTTCCCCAGAAACATGGTTCCATCATGGTGTCCCGCTGCAGCAGAGGCCGCTGAGTCCCCCGGCAGCGCCCAGGCACTAAGCAGCGCTGGCGACGGAAATCCTGGCCATGCGACCAATGAAGATCCGGGGGACGGGTGAGGGGGGAGGGGGGAGGGGGGGCAGCACCGAGAACGGGCCTTGCCATTGCGGGGTGTGTTCACCGTCTGTAAGGATGGCGTTCTTCTCTTTGCCCGTTGTTGGCGGTTTTCTTCTGGTAAGTATCGCTTTTGGGCAATTGGGGTAGAGACATGGAGGAGTTGGAGAAGGTTAGCGGGGTGGTAAGCAGCACCTCAGAGAGACACTGGAAGGGGCCACGAGAGCCAGCCACCTGCCAGATGCCCGCAGAGTCATGAGACCTGTCTTTGGTGTGTGATGCCCACCCTTTCCTCCATTCTGCTCTTGGCGTGCCGCGGTGCCAGGCAAGAGCTTCTCCAGTGCGACTACTGCTGCACTTGAGGCAGCGGCGGACGGGGACGGCCAAGCTAAGGCAATGCCACTAGGTAGGTACGGCTACGGCTACAACACTTGGCCGCCGTTGCTGTTTCTGCTTGCTAAGGCACTGGCAGCTGCATGTTTTGATTGAAAGAAAGGACAAGAAGAAAAAAAAGAAAAGAAAAAAAAGGGTCCCTCCCGAGGTGGACGGCCTTGAGTCTGGCGCTTTTGATAAATAGCTCCCGTCTTCTCTTGACGACGCCCACGATCCATCCCATCACTCTCAACATCACTCTGTCCATCTGCCTCTACATACATCTATCTCTCTGCCTCTACTTGTTAGACGTCCACAACAATACAAAGCATCCTTTCAGCTTCTCACAACTCACAACTGCCCGGCGCCCCAGCTGAAATACATACGGCTGCGCCTCACTCTTACAAGCTTCGTCCTAAAGTCACTCTGCCTTTTCGCTGACACGTTCCGCTACTCAATCCATCCGAAGTCTGTCGATCAGGGACATCCAACCCCCCTACCCGCACCGTTTCGCCCAGAGAGTTTGACACTGGTTCTCTATTAAGGAACGGGGAGCCGGACTCGCCTACCAAAGCCATGCGGCAGAACCTCTTCTTTTCATCGCTCCTGGCGACATTGCTCTCATCACCGCCCACGACACACGCTCTCGCTCTTCCGGGTCTCTTCCCTGACGCCCCGCCAGCATCGTCAAGACATCCCCCCGTCTCCCAGGAACTCAGACGCTCCGCCGCAGCCTCCTCCGCCCACCCCGCGAGAATGGCCGCCGCCGACCGATCCGCCAAATGGCGACCCCAGATTCACTTCTCACCACCCGCCAACTGGCTCAACGACCCAAACGGCCTCTTTGTTGATTCAGACGGCGTCTGGCACATGTACTACCAATGTAAGCCTGCCCCCTCGCCCGCCCCTCTCACTCGGTTTCATCCTGGTCCTCTTCACATCACACCTCAATAAACCCGTTTAACT